CCCCTTCTAGCAATCCAAAACAGTCCAGTGGCACCTTTAAGACCCAGTTTTATTCAGGTGCAAGCTCTCCCTCCTCTGCGAGGGCAGATCTGCACCTTCCTCCCCCCCCAAAAAAGCTAGCAACCCAAAACAGTCCAGTGAAGCCTGAGTGGTGGGCGTTGCCTTCTGACACACTTTCGGTGATTCCAGGGGGTGTGGCATATGCTAATGAGTTATGCTAATGAGCTCCTGCACCTCTTTTTCTACGAAATGACCCCTGGGGGGGTGTGACCTTTAAGATGAGACTCAGGGGTCTGCCAGCATCTTTGGAGGGTGCCTTCTGCCCAGTCCTGAGAGGGGAATCGGTGGTAAGCCCTGGCTCGGTGGTGGAGCATCTGCTTGGCATGCAGAAGGCCCCCAGGCTCAATCCCCAGCGGCGTCTCCAGGTAAAAGGACCAGGCAGTAGGTGAAGGGAAAGACCTCGGCCTGAGGCCCTGGAGAGCAGCTGCCGGTCTGAGTGGGAGATACTGACCTCGGTGGACTGATGGCCTGATTCAGTAGAAGGCAGCTTCAAGTGTTTATATGTGTACTTCCCCCTCCCCCCAAAAGTACCCTTTTTAGGGGTTCGTCTTTATGCAGGGGGCACAGTCCTGTGCAGTTTCCTCACGGTCTGGTTGCAGGCGACACCAGCTGTGCAGCGTCAAGATCCAGCGGAGCCCTCTTCCGTGGACTTAGAGAGATGGCAAAGATGTGGGAAGCTTCCCGGTCGCTGGATTCCCTGTGGATCCCTTCTCAGAAGTGTTGTAAAATTAGTCAAAAGTATTTAAATTACTCAGAGTATCAGTGGATCTTGCTCTATTGGAAAGAAGAGATTTCTTTGCTTTTAAAAACCTTTATTTCTAAGGGTAAAAGGTATACAGGGAAACTACAAAATAAACAGAACATCTAACAGCTCCATTTTCTAAGCTGCCTATTTATTGTTGTTCAGTCGCACAGTCGAGTCTGACTCTTCGCGACCCCATGGACCAGATCCCACCAGGCCCTCCTGTCTTCCACTGTCCTCTGAAGTTCGCTCAATTTCATGTTCGTTGCATCTATGACACTGTCTAACCATCTCATCCTTTGTCGTCCCCGTCTTCTTTGACCGTCAGTCTTTCCCAGCATCAGGGTCTTCTCCAGTGAGTGCTCCCTTCTCATTGGGTGGCCAAAGTATTTGAGCTTCAGTTTCATTATCTGGCCTTCCAGGGAACAGTCAGGGTTGATTTCTTTGAGGATTGACTGATTTGATCTTCTTGCAGTCCAAGGGACTCTCAAGAGTCTTCTCCAGCACCATAGTTCAAAAGAATCTATTCTTCGGCGCTCGGCCTTCCTTATAGTCCAACTCTCGCAGCCATACATGACTACTGGGAATACCATTGCTTTGACCATGCGGACTTTTGTTGGCAGGGTAATGTCTCTACTTTTTATCATGCTGTTTAGGTTCGCCATCGCTTTCCTCCCAAGGAGCAGGCGTCTTTTAATTTCATGGCTGCAGTCACAGTCTGCGGTGATCTGGGATCCCAGGAACGTGAAGTCTGTCACTACTTCCATGACTTCCCCTTCTATTTGCCAAGGAGTGATGGGGCCGGATTCCATGATCTTAGTTTTTTTGATGTTGAGCTTCAAGCCCACTTTTGCGCTCTCCTCTTTTACCCTGAGCAAGAGGCTCTTGAGGTCCTCTTCACTTTCTGCCATTAGAGTGGTATCGTCTGCGTATCTGTTCAACACATATAGCTGCCTATAGTTCAACACATAGTCACACACTAACTGTTGGGTGATAGTGAGATATTGAAAAATGGTATTTAGCAGAGATAAGATAGTCCAGCAGAGCCAGAGTAAAATAATTCAGACTCAGAGTCCAGGTGTGATTAAAATATAGAGTTTTTACTAAATTCTAGCATGGGAAGGGTAACTGGGATGAAAATAACAAAAGAGCAAAATCGGCTACATCCTTACACTACAAAGACAAAACTAGAAGAGAGATTATGGCTACTCTTCCTTCTTCTTCAGAACACCAAACAAAGACGGGACGAGAAGCCATAAAATGGTAATTTATTTATTTATTTATTCATACATTCGATTTCTATACTGCTCCAAACCCCGAAGGGTCTCTGAGCAGTTTACACAGTTCTGAATGTTTTTCCCTAACTAAGGCCACATGGTTACAGGGGTCGGGGCTACCTACCAGCACCCAGGTGGCAGGGCTCGCTGCTCTTGGCTTGTTCCCGGGCGGTCTTTTCGGGCGTCGGTACTCCGATGTTCCTGGCGTCCCCGGTGTCTGGCGTGGTCTTTTTCGGTCCCGCGGCTTTCTTTCTAGGTGGGCTCCTCTAATGCATGGTTCGCGTCGACTTACAGCCCAGCCTGCGCGCATCACCACGTCCTTCTATGGCTCTGCCTCCGTCTCTGCCTCCCTCACTCCGCTGCCTCGCTCCGTCGCTATTCCACTGTCGCTGCTATTTTTCGCCGATGCCACCGCTGCCACCGCCGCTTTGATGCTCCTGCCGCACACCCCCATATGGGGGAGGGTGCCCCCTGCCACTTAAGGGCAGGTACCCATTAATCTACTCACAATATTTACTTGCTTTTGAACCGCTGGGTGGGCAGGAGCTGGGACTAGGGCCAGGAGCTCACCCTGGCTGCGGTGGGTTTCGAACCGCTGTAGCAGCTGTTTGCAGTTGTTACCAGCAGGCGTTTAACCGCCTGCGCCACCGCTCCCTTATACACCTTGGCACTTTACTCCCAATCAAATTCCTAGATCAGGGAGAAAATTCCCGGGTATTCTACAGCTAAAGAACATTGGTTACATGAAAAACATGTGACTTCCTGTGAGTAACATAAACAAACATTTAACCCCAGATATACTGAGTGTTTTCAACTTGTAATACCCAACACTAACACACAGATAATGGAGAATCTGTCCTTCTTCTCGACCCCTAGAAAGGAAGTCCCCAATCTGTATCACAATAGAAGCTACTTCCCCCCCCCACTAATTCCCCATTGGCTTAGTGCCAGGTATCCCTTCCAGGTCAGTCTAAACAATAGCAATATTAGGTAAACAAGTTAACCCTATAATGACTGGATTGTCAGACCTTGTAAATACATACATTTCCAACAAGAAGCAGGGTTCCACTGACACGTGATCTAGGGACAGCTCGAGAGACTCCTTTCCGTGGGCATCTGGCTCTCTCTCTGCACTCTCTTGGCCTGCCGTCCAGACGTCCAGGTCCCTACTACCATTGGGATAGATTTCCGGACAGCCATTACCAATGCTCCCTCTAAGCTACAGAGTCTTGTGAGCGAAAATTCTACTTTGTGAGCTACTGGCATTAAAACTGTGAGCGAGCAATTTGGCTACTGCATAAATCAGTTTGCTCTGGAGCTGTCCTTCCTGAGCTAAGACAAAAATCTGTGAGCCGGAGGCTAGAAAACTGTGAGCTAGCTCACACTAACTCAGCTTAGAGAGAACCCTGGCCATTACTACTGGTCCACAGTTTTGATGTTGTTGTTGTTGTTCAGTCACACAGTAGAGTCTGGCTCTTCGCGACCCCGTGGACCACATCACGCCAGGCCCTCCTGTCCTCCGCCATCCTCCAGAGTTTGCTCAATTTCATGTTCATTGCCTCAATAACACTGTCTAACCATCTCATCGTTTGCAGTCCCCGTCTTCTTTGACCTTCAATCTTTCCCAGCATCAGGGTCTTCTCCAGTGAGTGCTCCCTTCTCATTGGGTGGCCAAAGTATTTGAGCTTCAGTTTCATTATCTGGCCTTCCAGGGAACAGTCAGGGTTGATTTTCTTTAAGATTGACTGATTTGATCTCCTTGCAGTCCGAGGGACTCTCAAGAGTCTTCTCCAGCACCAGAGTTCAAAAGAATCTATTCTTCGGCGCTCGGCCTTCCTTATAGTCCAACTCTCGCAGCCATACATGACTACTGGGAATACCATTGCTTTGACCATGTGGACTTTTGTTAGCAGGGTCTCTACTTTTTATTATGCTTTCTAGGTTTGCCATCGCTTTCCTCCCCAGGAGCAGGCGTCATTTAATTTCATGGCTGCAGTCACCATCTGCAGTGATCTTGGATCCCAGGAATGTGAAGTCTGTCACTGCTTCCACGACTTCCCCTTCTACTTGCCAAGGAGTGATGGGGTCGGAGGCCGTGACCTTAGTTTTTTTGATGTTGAGCTTCAAGCCCACTTTTGCGCTCTCCTCTTTCACCGTCAGCAAGAGGCTCTTGAGGTCCTCTTCAGGTTCTGCCATTAGAGTGGTATCGAGTTTTGATGTTAGGAACATATTTGTGCAACCAATTCAAATACAGTCGGAAGTGGCGCTTCAATTTTAAAGGGTTTGTCAGGGCAGACATACCATCTGCCAGTTGAGGGCACTGCAGGATTGCTTTTCACAAACCAGCCTCCTAAAGCTACATTCAGGTGGGTCCCCGTGGTGGCCTGAAGCAGCAGAAACAATGTTTTGAGTCCAGTGGGACCTTTAAGTTTTACTCAGAGTATAAGTGGATGAGGTGCACCTGCACACAAAGGCTTATACCCAGAATTAAACTTTATTGGCCTTCAAGGAGCCACTGGACTCAGCCTCGGAAAGGGTGAGTTTCCACTCAGCAAACTTTTCTTAGTTTTAGAGAAGATTACTCATTGAAAAATTGCTATGACTTGACATTAGCCGTTGACGATCGATAGGAACAATATGACCAGGATATGTGTGTGGTTTTTTTTACAAATCTTGGAAATGTTTGAAAACAGGCCCTGCAGTCACCTGTTACACACCACGGAGCATGTGCAAATTACTCAGCTGTCCCCAAAGTCAAGCTACTCCATCTCACAGAGGACTCATAAGAACATCAGAAGAGCCCTGCTGGATCAGACCAGTGAGGGTCCATCTAGTCGAGCATCCTGTCTTCTTCTCACACAGTAGCCAACCAGTTCCTCTGGAGGGCCAACAACAGGGCAGAGAGGCCGAGGCCTTCCCCTGATAAGAACCTCAGAAGAGCCCTGCTGGGTCAGACCAGGGAGGGTCCATCTAGTCCAGCACCCCTGTCTTCTCACATAGTAACCAACGAGTTCCTCTGAATGGCCAACAACAGGGCAGAGAGGCCGAGGCCTTCCCCTGATAAGAACCTCAGAAGAGCCCTGCTGGGTCAGACCAGGGAGGGTCCATCTAGTCCAGCACCCCTGTCTTCTCACATAGTAACCAACGAGTTCCTCTGAATGGCCAACAACAGGGCAGAGAGGCCGAGGCCTTCCCCTGATAAGAACATCAGAAGAGTCTTACTGGATCAGACCAGTGAGGGTCCATCTAGTCCAGCATCCTGCCTCACACAGGGGCCAACCAGTTCCCCTGAAGGGCCAGCAACAGGGCAGGGAGGCTGAGGCCTTCCCCTGAGAAAAACATCAGAAGAGCCCTGCTGGATCAGACCAGTGAGGGTCTATCCAGTCCAGCATCCTGCCTCACACAGGGGCCAGCCTGTTCCCCTGAAGGGCCAGCAACAGGGCAGGGAGGCTGAGGCCTTCCCCTGAGAAGAATCTCAGAAGAGCCCTGCTGGGTCAGACCAGTGAGGGTCCATCTAGTCTGGCATCCTGTCTTCTCACACAGCGACCAACCAGTTCCTCTGGAGGGCCAACAAACAGGGCAGAGAGGCCGAGGCCTTCCCCTGAGAAGGACATCAGAAGAGCCCTGCTGGATCAGACCAGGGAGGGTCCAGCTAGTCCAGCATCCTGTCTTCTCACACAGCGACCAACCAGTTCCCCACTCCTCCACTTGCACCTGCTGATGTGACCTTGGGTCAGTCACAAGCTCTGGCACAGCTGTCCTTGAAAAAGAGCAGTTTCTGTCAGAGCTCTCTCAGTCCCACCTACCTCACAGGGTGTCTGCTGTGGGGAGGGGAAGGAAAAGGAGTTTGTAAGCCGCTCTGAGACTCCTACGGATAGTGAAGGGCGGGGTATAAATCCAATTCTTCTTCTTCTTCTTCTTCTTCTTCTTCTTCTTCTTCTTCTTCTTCTTCTTCTTCTCCTCCTCCTCCTCCTCCTCCTCCTCTCTGTACTTTGTCCATCGTAATTATAAAAGGCTCTCCACTTTCCGCCCCCCTCCCCTTTGAAGGCAAGGACTTGCAAAGGTCACGGCCCTCCTTCTGGTATGGAATCCCCCAAACAAGGATGTAAAGGTAAAGATTCCCTTGCTCGAAAGCCAGTCGAGTCCGACTCTAGGGTTGCGGTGCTCATCTCCGTTTCCAAGCCGAAGAGCCGGCGCTGTCCGAAGACGTTTCCGTGGTCATGTGGCTGGCATGACTAGACACCGAGGCGCTCGGAACGTTGTGACCTTCCCACTGAAGTGGTACCTATTTATCCACTTGCAATTTCTTGCTTTCGAACTGCTAGGTTTCCGTGGTCATGTGGCCGGCATGACTAGACACCAAGGCGCACTGAGCCCTGTAACTTTCCCACCGAAGTGGTACCTATTTTTTGTTTGTTGTTCAGTCGCACAGTCGAGTCCGACTCTCCGTGACCCCACGGACCAGATCCCGCCAGGCCCTCCTGTCTTCCGCCGTCCTCTGAAGTTGGCTCAATTTCATGTTCCTTGCATCGATGACACTGTCCAACCATCTCATCCTTTGCCGTCCACGTCTTCTTTGACCTTTAGTCTACCTATTTATCTACTTGCAATTTCTTGCTTTGGAAGGGCGGCACACTCGGGTCCCGACCCATGCTCCCTCTAAGCTATGGAGTCCTGTGAGCAAAAATTCTACTTTGTGAGCTACTGGCATTAAAGCTGTGAGCGAGTGATTTGGCTACTGCATAAATTAGTTTGCTCTGGAGCCCTCCTTCCTGAGCTAAGACAAAAGTGTGTGAGCCAGAGGCTAAAAAACTGTGAGCTAGCTCACACTCACTCAGCTTAGAGGGAACACTGGGGTCCCGACCTTCCACAGCCTGCAGTTCAGCGTCTTCACCACTTGAGCCACCGCAGCTCCTTTGAGAAGGGCTTGGATGCATGCAAAAAGAAGAGGTCCGTCATTCAATGACCACGAATTCCTTTTTGCAAAAGGAGCACTCTGTCGAAGGGTTAAAAGAGAGAGAGAGAAAGACCCGCAGTCCTAGAGAGGCACATGGGGGGGGGTGGAATTGCACGGGGGGGGCATTTCCTC